CCAGCTCAGGGACCCTCCCAGCGCCCACTGCCCTCACCTCTCCCAGCCCAGAGACGCCACCGCCCTCACCTCTCCCGCCTCGCCGCCCCCAGCACGCGCCGCCCTCACGCCTCTCCCGCCTCGTGCTGCAACAGCCCTTCAACAGCTCGGCCGGGCCCGCCCGGCCCGTCAAGGCAGCCCCGCGCTCCCATTGGCTGACGCAGCCCCAGCTGTCCTGCCATTGGCTGCCGGGCAGCGCAAGGCCCGCCCCGCCCCACCGCCACGCCCGCGGCCCGCCCGTCCCGCCCCGAGGGCAGCGCGGGGCCCGCTCTGTCCGTGTCCCTGTCCGTGTCCCTGCCCCAGCACTGCCCAGCGCACCCCTCCCGCCCCCAACACCTCCCTGTTGGGACAGCAGCACTGTGGGTTCAGCTCCCTGCCGCTTTCCCTCCCTCACCCCTCCACTACCTCACCTGCCCAAGGCCCCGCTGGAAGCTGCCGGGATCTCGGGGAGTGGGGACATCGCTACCTTGGCGAGGCCGAGATGTTTTGGGGAAAGCTGTGAAGTGTCTTGCCATAATGAGTAGTAGTTCATACAAACGAAAAGCCTTTTGTTTCTTTAGAGGGGAAAAACATGTGATGTGCCGTCAAATTAAAAACTGCAGCTACAGGTAGTGATGGAATAATTCCTATTCCAGTGTTCATGACAGAGAGCAGCTCCCCAAAATCCTGATGTACAACCTTGGATCCTCCTGGGCTCACAAACACACAGCTGGCACCAAGCTGGAGGCTGGCTGACAACACAGTGGGACAAACACTGCACCAAAGCACTTACTTGCAAGATGTGCAGCTTTACATGGATCCATCCTATGTGATGGGTCTTTCCCCACAGCATTTCACCTCCTTGAGACAAATGAGTAACTGATTGTTTCAGCTTCTATTTAATATTTTTGCTCCTCCTAGAAGTCCCTTGCCCTCCACCATGAGGACTTCTATTGACAGCCTGGCCACATACCCACTCCACATTCAGAGATAAGAGGGCTACACTGAACCCAAGTTTTAGGTTGTTGGGACTGGTTGTTTGGGGTTTTTTTCATCTTTCAGACTTTGAGCCAAGTTTGTGATGGAGGCGTTTGACTCATCGTTTCTAACATTTTAGGCTCCCAACAGTAACGCACGTTAATCTTGGGACTCGTTCTGGCAGTAAATGTAACGTGACTCCTCGGGGCTACTGAGCCTTGCGACCGTTCCAGCAACCATCAAAGGGGAGCTGGAGTTCTGGGAAAAACACCGACTGGCAGCATTTCGCCCCGCACGTCCTCCTGCCAGTGGCAGGAGCCCGACAGCTTCATCCACAGGGCCAGGGAACGGCCGGGGTCAGAGGCCACCTGAGTCAGCCATATCCAGCAAGCGCTTTGCTAAACCTCTTCCTGTGAGTCCCTTAAGCCTCCTGTTCGGTGTTGCTGGTTATGGAAGGCGAGGGCACCGCTCCACACCTGATCCCTGCACGGGTTAGGCTTCAACAACAATTTCTCAACTGTTTCCCAATTGTCTGCCTGCCCCGTGGGTCATCACACCTCCCACCTAGGCTGCTGCACGTACTTTCTGCCAGCCGTTATACATACGAGAGGCAGAAAGAAAACTCTCCAAGAGAGCCTCCACGGGGCTTAGAGAGCATGATGTACTCACACAGGCATCCTGCTGAATGCACTGCAGGATGTGCTTGGCTGGAATCAGGAAGTCTATGAGGTAGCGCAGTCCATCCCCACGGTACGTCTTCTCCACCACATCAAAAACTTGGCACAGAACAGTGGCTGCGGTAGCCTCAAACGGAGGGTAGAGTGTTGATAACGTGCTCTGAATGCAGCCGTCCAGCGACTCCGAGTCCTGCCGAGAGACAAAGCGTTAGTGGTACCACGGCACGATCCGCCCCGGCGCCCCGACGAGCCCTGCGCCCAGGAGAGCAGCCATCTCCAAAACGCAGGAGGAGCGGAGATCAAAGGAGCAAAGCGCTGTCCTTTCCAGCTCCCCTTGGCACCGGCGATTCCAGGTAAACACTGAAAAGCTCTCCCAAAAGGGGAGCGGAGCGCTCACAGAGTGTGCTGCGCACAGCGGCGAGAATTCCCAGCTTTTGCTTACGCAGCAAGTCCTTCTCCTGCCTGCGCGGGGTGGGGCGGCTGTTAGACCACACCGCGGCACGTGAGCGCGTGCGGGCGAGCCACTCGTGGGGTGGGCGCATCGGCGGGACCCGAGCCCTGGGTACCCGGGGCTGGAGATGCTGCCCAGCACTTGGGTACGTTACATCCCAGAGTTACAGCTCCCCGGTGGGCTGAGCGGAGCTGCAGGACAACGGGTTGGGCCGAAGCTCCCGAGCCTGCCGTGCTCTGGAGTCCCAGCACAGGGTGAGTTTGGAGCGCTTGGTCCCGAGGAAAGCCGCTCACCAGTGAGATTCCTCATTACCCAAAGCTGTTTGCCTCTCATGAAAGGCTCCGCTCCAGGAGCCAGGAATTTTCTGTGCTGAGAGGTGCCTCCCAACAGGATTCACAGGCTGCACGTGAACAGTGGTCCCTGAGCACACACATCGATACGCGGGATGCCCATTTCCAGCTCACGGATCAGAGGCAATGGCTTCCCCGAATCCACCTTCGTTTGGAAGAACCTGCCAGCCAGAGCCTGCCCACGGTGTCAGGACCAATTCCAGTGCCAGAGGCCAAAATCTGAGTTATTGCATGGGTGTAAATCAAGAGGGCTTGCCAAAAAGTAACAATAAAAAAAATAAAGCTGTACATATCTGGAGAGAGGATCAGGATCCCTCCTTTCCTATCTATTTCAGAGGGGATCCCTTGGGCTAACTTACAGCCAGTGGGAGTAAGTTTTGCTACAAAACCAAATGAAAGTTTACTCAGGTGTCTGGCCAGGTCTTCATCTGATCTAAATCCACCTCCTTTCACTAGAGACAAGAAAAGCATTTCAGCCACTTGGCCCTACAGCCTCCTGCAGAACAGGAACAGCTGCATGGACATGCCTGAAAACATACCTCAGTCCCACAGCAAGATGGGGAGAGAAAGTTAAACAAAGCAGTGCCACAACAGCTTTACACCACCACCGGGGAGCAGCAGGGCGAGGGGATCAGGAGGAAACAAACTGGTTTGCTTCTTCCACTCCACGGCAGCACATGTTCATCACTCCAGATACCTCCACTGGCCTGAGAAAATGCAACAGTCTCAGAGCAAGCCTGAACCGACCTGCAGCCCGAGCAGAGATGATGCTCCTCACACGAGCCTTCCCACCTCTCACAGCTCAACAATCTCCAAGTTCCTCCTTTAGAGGGTTGGGTGTTTTAAGCATTATATAAACTCCCTGCTCTGTTGTAGGACAGCCTGTGGGACTGCACAGGAGAGGTGGGGAAGCCCAGGAGATGCCTCCACAATTCCTGCCTGCACCGAGCTGGCAGAACACGTGTGACAGGCAAACCACACGCTGCCTGTGGCACAGCACTGCTTCCTTACCTCTTCTGCTGTTTCTCCTGGTGGCAGCAACAAGCAAGGCTAGATGGCAGCAGGCTCCTAAAGCGTTCACACCTTTTCTGAGAAACCAGCTGCCTCCTGCAGTACTCCTCAAGGCCAATGCAACCAGATAAACAGAGGTTAAGGAGCTATTTTTCATATTCACAGAATCACAGATTGTCCTCAGTTGGAATTCTTAACCCAATATTCTTAACCCAAGGACTCCAAAAGCAGGAGCCCTACATGCACACTTCCAAGCACTGAATGCCAGGGTGAGCATTTAACCCCAATCCTAAATGGGAGGAGAAGGCTGTTTTAGGCAAGTTTCTTCCCACTCAGAAAAATAATAACCTCTGTTGACATCAACCTGTCCCAGCAAGTGCCTTTGGCCTTGTGAGACAAAACTGGCCTTCACACAGGTGCTCTCCCACCCAGCACCAGCTGCCTGCTTGGGCACTATCACAGTAGCATTGCTGCTGGTAGCATTTGACAACAATCTCTCTCTGACCCTCCACAGCCCACAGGTTTCAAAGTACCAGTCAAAACCAGCTGGGGTTGGTTCTGTGCCATCCTCTGTCCCCATGCCCTGCTTGAGCAAAATTCTTTCAGATATCAATCCCTCCCCAAAAGACATTTGTTAAGTTTACCATTGCAAATAAAACAAAGAAGTCAAAATATTTGCACATGAGTCAGTGCATCGCTCTAAGGTTCTCACACCATTCCTGCTGCCTTAGCAAAGCCTTCACAAAACAATTATTAACACTGGCACCGAATCAAAAATCTTTTATATGGTTAAAATAAACCAGGTCGTACATTATCCTTCCTTTAGTAAAATACAGAATAACCATAGCCTGTAGCCATTGCAGAGTGCAGTGCTAGCAGTGCACTCCACAGCACAGAGGCTTTATCTCCCTCTGGCTAGACTATACCACGAAGCCATGATAGCTGTGCAGGCTTCCAAGGGATGAGAGAAGGCTTCAACCCCTACCATTTGGTAGAAAGAGATGTTTGCCCCAGTCTCTGCTAATTCCACGTGAAAAGCCCCGAACAGGGAGTAAATTCCCACATCCCACCACGCTGCATGTGACTGCAGCACCAGCATCCTTGGGCAGCTGCAGAACAAGGATGGATGCAGCCCACGTGTGCAACAGGCAATTGTGGAGGTGACACCACTTTTCAGTGCTCCCTGGTGGTCACCAGGGTTATGTCCTGCTGGGGTAGAGGGTGCAACATGGCAGTGCCTCAGAAGTCACCTTGAAAACACAGAGGGTGGAACACAGCAGAGCTTGGAGCCTGCAACAGCAGCAGATTCACCTCTAATCGGGGACTCATTAACCCAACTCACAATCCAAGGGATGGGACTGCTTATTTGTATTAATTAACTTCTCAGATTGCAGAGGGGCCAGAGGAAAGGGCCTCAGCAGGGGCTGTAAGAGGCTGTTGAATGCCAGAGCACAGCTGGGCAGCCTCACACATCCAGCCTGCGGGCAGGGCCTGCTGCCACACACATGGAAAAGACATGGTTTGGAGGCACAGGGAACTCACACAAACAAGAGAAGGGGATGGTGCCCTGCAGTCCAGAGGCTGATAAACCTGAAGTCCAGAGCCTGTCCTACCTACAAACCACATCACGGAATCGTAGAATGTGTAAGGTTGGAAGGCACCACTGGAGGTCATCTAGTCCAACCTCCCTGCTCCAGCAGGGTCCCCTAGACCATATTAGGGGTCCCCCAAACCACTGAAGGGTTTCCTAGAGCACGTTAGGGTCCCCCAGAGCATGTTACTTCACATGGCTTTTGAGTATTTCCAAAGAAGGAGACTCCACAATCTCTCTGGGCAACGTATTCCAGAGTTTCCATCACTTAGCTCAAGCAGGCAACACAACCTCCAGCAGGCATGAGGAGAAACCTCTGTGACCCAGGATGAGTGGACAGCACCTGGAGAGGAGGAGAGCAAGCTAAACCCAGCAAGGATCCCAGGGGAGAGAACTTCTACCCCAGCCCACAGTGCCCCCCAAGAGCTGGCAGAGCACAGCACAGGAGCCTCCTGGAGAAAAGCAGCCTCTTTCAGGGACTGGAAATTTCTAGCTTCCCTGCTTCCAACACTGTTGCCACATCCCTTTCACAGAAAAGGTCCTGGACACTTATTCCTTTTCAGCCACTTGGCACAAACACTAGTCAGGGCGCTTTCCAAGCAAGCCAGAGAGCATCTCCCCAAGCAAAAGATGTCTTGGAGCTCAAATGCTTCTTTGTCAATAGCACAGGAGGACCTGTGAACTCCAGCTCACTGCCACCACTCCACCACACCTCCCAAAAGAGAAACACGCTTTTAAAATAACTCCTCTATAAATCAAGGTGCTAAATAAAGCCCAGGTTAAGGTCATGTCCGGCCAAACCGGCTTTCACTGCTGCTCAGCTGGGAGCCGCTGCAGGGGCTGGAGCACAGCGAGGGAAGAGGAAAGCAGCACATGGGGATGGGATGGGCTCCGTGGGCTGAGCCGTGTGACAGGAACAACCCAGCGTGGTCCCACCCCGGGGGGCAGGGGAGCAGGGAGAACCCAGGAGGACTTCATAGCTGGCAGAGGGCTTAGTCTGAACAGGGCCAGCAACGAGTTGGGGTGGGTGGGCTGCCCTCCCTCCCCTGCATATCATCAGAGCCACAGATGCTGTGAAACAAATAAAGCAATAAAGTTGTGGCAAAGCTCTGTCGCTCAGCCCTAAGAGCCCTTCTCCATCACAAACTGCAGCAATACCATGATTCAAACACAAATGAGGTTACCAGTGCCTGGGCAGAAGCCCCAAGCCCAGACTAACAAGTAGGCAGCAGGAAGAGCAGACCAGGATCTGTTACAAACCTGCTCAGGAGACACATCTACCTTTCCTCATGCAAGCAGCTGCTGCAGGATGTGAGACGAGCCTATCAGGAGGCATCTGGAGTAATCAGGAGCTTCTTGGGCTTTTCTAGGTGCTTTTCTAGATTGAATTTTCTGCCTACCTTTGTGGGCATGGAGAGAACGACACAGCAGCTCCAGCCACTGGGAACTCCTGTCATGCTACATTTCTTTCTGACTCAGGACTCAACTTTTTCCTCTTTGGGACCTGCTGCTCACCAATTAAGTCTGAACTCTGGAGAACCTGCTACAGGTTTGGAGAACAAGAAGTCAGCCTGCCTGGGGAGCAGAGAGATCATCCCCAGGGCTACACACACCCCCCTTGCACAGCCTCAGAATACTTTGTGCTCTTCAAGCAAGAGACAGCAACCCAAAAGGCTCAGGACAATGCAAGTTGGTGCAGGGAAGGGCTGCAATGCTACTGGATCCATCTGGGCCCACAAAGCCTTGGCAGCATTTTCCCTACAACTCACCCAAGCACTTTGCTAATT